CTAAACCCAAAACCCTAAACCCTCGGTATAATGGGCCTCCGGCTTCAGCTTCGGGTGGGAAAAGATCGGGTCTAAGACTCGGGGCTCGAGGAGCTTAGAGATTCACCGCACTACCTGGACCCCTAAACTCAAATAGGGTTTAGGGTTTAGCAAAACCCTAAACCCAATACCTGAAGTAAGCACTACCTGGGCCCTAATCAGGGCTCCTTACTATGATTTCCTTATATAAGTCCTTAAATCGGTGGGTTATCTAGGGTCCAGGTATACTTTAAATCATATAGGGTCATTCATAATATGATAGGCATCTTCCGTCGTCAAGGGGTGTTGAGCTCTCTGAGAAAGGAGCTGTCTCTCTTGCTGCACTGGGCCAGGAAGAAGACCAAAAAGCCCCTAAACCCTAAAACCCTAAACCCTAAACCCTAGAAAGATCAAAAAAACAGCTGCTTGGGGCACTCCCACAAACGGAAAGCACTCTCCTCTGGAGCTCTTGCGAGAGAGCCTATGAATGCAACCAAACACCTGAACATACACCTTTGAAGGAAGTGCCCCTAAAAGGGGAGGCGCTCAATGCTTGAGCGCGGTCTTTGAAGGCACGTTTTTGATTCCGAAGACTAAGACATTGTCCGTTTCAGAGGGACCAACACTAAACTCTAAACCCTAAACCCTAACTGTCTACCACACCCTCATGACGACAGCTTAAACCCCCACAAAAGGAACCAGATCCCCGGACCTTTCCATACAGCCTCGTTTAGGTCTACTCCTCAAGTCGTAGTTGGGATGCTAACATCGTCTAGGGCCCATCTGCTCATTGCGGGATATTGGGTGGTCTGGGTTCGGGCCTCCACACCCCAGCCACGAACATCAAACCCTAACACGCAACCTCAAACAGAAACCCTAAACCTAAAACCCCTAAACCCTAAACCCTAAACCCCTAAACCCTAAAGCGTAAACCCTAAATCCACCCTAGAACCCTAAACCCTATAAGCCCTGCACTCTAAACCCTAAACTACCCCGGGGTGCGGGGGTTGCTAGTAAACCAATCCCGAAAGCCAGAAGCCCAGAGCCTGAACTCCTGCAATTCAAGTAAACCACTGCAAAACCCACGGTTGAGGGTTCAGGGTTTAGG